TCCTTCACCCACTTTTCTGTTGTCTCACCACATGGGAGCGGGTTCAAGTGAAAAAAAAAATTAATCATTTTATTGGGGTCTCATATAGCTCTTATCACAAAATCCATTCATCCATTGTATCAAACACATTTGTTGCCATCATCATTTTCAAAACATTTTCTTTCTACTTGAGCCTTTGGTATCAGCTCCTCATTTTTCCCCTCCCTCCCCCACCCCTCTTCCTCATGAACCCTTGATAATTTATAAATTGTTATTGTTTTTTCATGTTTCATACTGATCAGTGTCTTCCTTCACCCATTCTTCTGTTTTCTGTCCCCCTGGGAGGGGCTTCAAGTGAAATATCTTAATGTGGCTCTTCTCTCACCGTCTTTAACTCCCACCACGTGATTGGGTGGGGCTATGCAAATAGGGTTTCTGGCTTATAACACAGATACTAGGCATTGGTCAGTTTTGGTTATACCCCTGGTCGCAGTGCCTGCTCCACTCCTTGGCTCTGAGGATGAGCCATCTTTGAAGCAGGAAATAGAAAATCCCGGACTATCAGAAGCAGAGCATGTTCCAGATCTCTCTCTGAAGTGGCAGAGGCCAAGAACAGTGGCACCAGAGACTGTGGCATGGAGTCTCAGAGGAGCAGTGCCAACCAAGACTATGAGGAACCTTCGTCTCATGTGGCCTGCGCCTGGGGGACTGGGGGACAGAGGAACAGGCACTGGCTGGCTTCCTGGCCCACAGAGGCAGAAGCCACATGATCACGTGGCTGAGCAGCTGTGACCAAGAGAGAGAATTAGTTGCTGGCTAAGGAAAGGTACTGCTATGGGTGAATGACGGTTTAAGGTACTGCTATGGGTGAATGACGGTTTTCTTTACTGTTTCTTGTTCCTACTCAGTGGAAACCTATTAACTTTCCCCTATAAACCCCCTTCATTGTGAATACGCTCTGTGAATTAAAAAAAAAGTAATCATTTTATTGGGGGGGGCTCTTAAAATTTTTTTGACAATCCATCATTCAATTGTATAA